TTATGCGTTGCTCTTTTTAAGAGACTGTGAGGCTATATTTGTCTGTCAGGGAGGAGCGGCACCCAATTGTTTCAGCTGGATCCAGGTCAGTAGAATCCAAATTCAGATAAAACTGAATATTAAAGCAGAGCCTCTAACTGTAAGACTTTGAAACATCCCTCAAGTCTCAGTCATCTCTACTTTACAGGTGGTCGACTGGTTGAGTTCCCACAGTCGTTTATACACCACAGATATGAGACGACCTTTCAGTTTCCTTTATTTTAGTTCCCCCTCTTCTAGTATTATAATAATTGATGCTGTGTGAGTTTATTACACCTTAATATTAGCTGCCTGTTGCGTGTCAGAACTGATGTTTTCCCCAGTAGGTTATCCAATTAAGACAGTTCCTATATAGTTAAAATCTTCATTCTGTACGTCGCAAAGATGGGAATGGAATGAGAGGAGCGTCCTTCATTTAAGAACAGAGTGGAACGCCTGGAAAGCCATGGATGTCTCCTCATCTGCTAACTTGTATGATGTAAAAGGTGATGATGTGGCAGACTGGAACTGTATGAAAAGCCTCTTTAAAATCACATTTGTCATGTCATGTCTGGCTTAAACATGTATATAAATATACTTCTTATCAGACGATATTGTCCCAAAAGTTAGACAATTTCTAGTTTTAGAACAATCCTGTCTTAAAATTTTCATTATCTTCTGCAGGCCAGTTAGTTCTACGTCAGCCTGAACACCTAAATTCAGCCAATCATATATCAACGGTCACCTGCCAATCAAATTTTTAGGTCATAGCATCTTGATTCATATGTCGCAGCTAATATTATATAATATATAAAATACTTTCAGAAGTTTGATTTCTGAATATGAGCGGACTTTTACTTTAAAGTCGGACTAAAATCTGCAGATTCAATTAATTTAGGTAAATCACAAAAGGCGAGGCAAGTTTAGATTCCTGTTTTAGCAGCTGTTTATTTAACGGATGTATTGATGATTTTGGTCCAAATGCTTGCAGAAAGAACCGCATCCTGGATGTTGCTCCCACCTCATTAATTCTTCCCCTGAGGACGGATCTGCAGGGTAGGTGCTGCTCAATGGCAATCCATCTCCTCTGTAGCACAGGAAGACAGTTTTACATCCTTTCTTTGCTGCCATAAATAAATCCCCCCCAGCTTCACCGACTACAGCAGCATCTCTTCTGTGTTTTCACGCTGTGAGAAATGTTGCATGAAACCGTTCAAACTCTCCGTTCAGTCATTCGGACTAAATGAAGATCGAGTGCAGCTAAAAATCCCATGAGCAGGAACAGAACATGAATCTCTGACGATTCCGGGCTCATCTGTAGCGTTTACCAATAATAATTTGGGTCAAAGAGGCATTACTCACAATTTGAGGATCATTTGTCCTCAGAGGATCAACTCAGCCTGAAGGAAAGAGGAGACTTTGCTTTTATACCAGTTTCAAAGCAAAGATGTTTGGCTTTTTCCTTTTTCACTCATCAAATAATCCTTAATAAAGATACCCAGAGTATAGCTTATAACGTTTTCAGTTTTTCTAATTTAAAGAGACATAATTATTTAAATCAATCGCTCCTTTGTGATATTACACCTGCTGCCCTGGATAAATTGTGTTAATCTAACAATCAAGCTTAAGGACTGGTTATGATCTCCCCTTAGAATAAAGAAACCCCATAAAGTGAGTCAGCCTGGCAACAAATAGCAGCTCTAAAATCAACACATGGGGAATTTACCATTAGGCAATACTAGGCAGTGGCCCCAAGTTCCTGGCCCCATAAAACTCTGTTTACATTTACGGTTGATAGAACTATTCCTCCTGGATGCTTTGGTCGGAAGGCTAGTTCACCTATGGTAAGTTTATGATCCTCATTAAAGGAATAGTACACCCAAAACATGATTAGCCTTCATTTTCTACTCACCCCCATGCTGAACAACACTCTGGAGTACTTTTTTGATATCTCAAATGCATCTGGAGATCTGGGAGGCTTCTTGCTGTCTGCTGACATTCAAATAATGGAGGTCTATGGCGCCCGAGACAGAAAGGTCCATAAAAGTCCACAAAAAACGTGTCAATATTCCTCCATACTGCTCGTCCAATGTATTCCAAGTGTCCTGAGTGGGTAGCATCCAGAATTTACTCGAAACTAAGTCATTTAGAATGTTTTTAGAGCATAAACAGTAGTGTATAGGATTTCCTGAAAGCGCGTTCACGAGTCTACGGAAACCGCGGCAGACCAAACCAGATGAAAGTGCGCATTCAGCTCGGCAAAGAACTCATGCTCTTCCTCAACACTGAAGTCCTCAGACATTTTTCTTTCGTTGTTTCTTTCTTTGCACAGGTAAACAGCACATTTCTTCTTCTACGCTTGCATTATCGGCAGAGCAGACGCTGAATGCGCACTTTCATCTGGTTTGGTCTGCCGTGGTTTCCGTAGGCTCGTGAACTCGCTTTTAGGAAATCCTATATATTTGGCCTAAAGACGAGGAGGAAAATCTATTAAAAACACTTTGCACAATTTATAAACTTCTAATTAATATTTTGGGAAATGATTTTGACTTATTTTACTATTATGTGTATTTGGATTTTAATTTATTTTGAGGCCTAATCTACACAAGGTCACAGAAGTTACATTGTCATGGCAACTTCTAGCAAGCCATTGTCGCCGAGTTCTTCAGAAGAACACAGTGTGTTGACTCTGGGAGAACGGGAGCACGCAGCATAGATATGGGTCAAAAGCCACTCAGGAGCTGCATTTTCTCTCCTGTTAATAGTCTCTAGATCAGGGGTCACCAACGCGGTGCCCACGGGCACCTCAAGGACCACATGGGGGGCTCTCTGTTCGTCTTCTGAAAACAGAAGAACTCACTCAGTGGGTTAAGTTAAATTTATTTTTTCTGTTGCTCTTCTTATTAATCATTTATGTATTATTTCATCATGTTAACTATTTCATCATATTTCAGTGGTTTCAAAATTACAATATTAAAAAGAAAATTAGAAATAAAAGAATAAAACTGAGTTTTTATGGATGAGATTTACTGTAGGTGAACACTGATCCCTCCAGTTCATTGGTCAGTATTGGTAGCCCTTCCTATGACTCTGTAGCCATGAAGTAGCCCTCAGCCTTAAAAAGGTTGGTGACCCCTGCTCTAGATAATAAATTATTAGTTTTTTCATTTAGTCGGGGAATAATAATGAACACAGATAAACAAATCAAATGAAAATTTTTGCTAAATAAAATAAAAAAAAAACTCGCCATCAGAAACGGCGGTCCTTCATAAAATGGCTATGCAGAGAGATGGCCGCTGCAGACGGCAGGGACAAAACTGACAGTTGACAAACATGGATGCCTCCAGTAAATTTTACATTAAATGTAAATTACTCTTAATTAAAAACATTTATTGAACAGTATGTAATATTTGATATTTAAAGTACTTTCAGAAGTTTGAAATCTGAATATTAGCGGACTTTTCCTTTAAAAGGGGAATGCCGTTTTTTTTTCTCCATTGGGTCCTTAATTTTCCGTTATTCCATCATGTTCTACTCACCCATATGAGTTTAGTGTCATTTGGAGCCGTTCTGAAGATATTCCGTTAGGTTATATCCAAGTAACGTCTTCCTCTGGGCAACGACTTGAAGACACTAACTAAACTGTTCATCATTTATTCTTTAAGGTACGCCAGCATTCAGAACATGGAGGCCAATCACTGTCCCCCAGACATCCGCCGTTAGATTTTCTATATTTATATCTTTTAAAAGCAAAGTTGAGTGTGTATGATGTCATCCGTGCGCCGGCTACCGTTCATTCTTCCTGTCCGCTGAACTGCTGCTAGTTTTCCTCACATGCCTGGAAGATGTCTAGAGCTGCTACCACAGATCATCTCGCTCTGCAAATGAATGAATCAGATTAGCTAGAATGAATAGAAGGGATAGAGCGTAGCCGCCTGTGGCCAGTCCGGCGTGCGGATGACGTCATACGCACTCAGTTTTCTTTAAAAAAAATATAAAATATAACGGCAGATGTCTGTGGGACAGTGATTCATCTACATGATATGAATGCTGACGTACCATTAAGAATAAATTATGAACAGTTAGGTTAATGGGCAACAACTTGAAGTTGCAAACTTGACTCCGCCAGATGGATTTGCTCCGCATATCCATCTGGAAACCTTCCGTTGAAGTAATTTTGGGAAGGGGCGAAAATACTGGTTAGCTGATTGGCCTATGTTGGTGATAGACGGGCCAAATAAACCAATCAGATCAACGAAGCATATGACGAACTAACAGAGCGACGACGAAAACACAACCACAAGTCAGGCTACTCTTGCCGAAACCAGTGGGGAGAAGAGCAAAAACATCTTTTCCTCTGAGAAAAGCCTCCAGAGCAGTCTTTTGCTCTTCTTTCAGTGAAGAAATACTCTGTAATTCCGATAAAACTTGCTCGATAGCCACGCTAACGCTAGTTTCATCGGCTGAAGCCGCCATGTTCTTTAGACTGAACTGTCGCACTTCTCGTTGCGTTACACCTCAACCCGCCTCAAAGCCAACGCTGATTGGACGTTCGTTTGGTGAACGGCTCCAAATTTTCTTTAACGGAGAGTCTCCAGACTGATCTGCGAGTGAAACCTTGAAAGCTCACGAGATCAGGATGGTCTCAGAACGGCTCTAAATGACACAAAACTCTTATGGGTGAGTAGAACATGATGGAATAACGTAAAATCAAGGGACCAATGTAAAAAAAAACACAAAAAAAACGGTGTTTCCCTTTACAATAGAAGCATATAAGTATTTTAACTCTCCATAGGTCTGCATACGACCAAAGACTATTACCAACGTACCGTCTCTGTTCGGCGCTGCTAAAGATGCTCCTGCAGTGAAGTTTCATCGGTTATAATCTGGTCTGGATTCAGCGCAGCTCCGATGAAGCAACAGATGCAAAGAAAATTTCATGAAGCTAAAAAAAACAAAAAACAAAGCCCACATAGAGCCACGTTTGCTTAGCAGTTTATTTTTAATTCACATTTTAAAAGATTTTCATGGCAGCACATTCTTCAAACCTATGCATGCGAGATATGCCAGCAGACATTTTATTAAAAAAAGAACTTTAAATCAATAATAAAAAAAATAAATGAGTTAAGAGAAAAAAAAAAGAGAAAAAGAAGCAGCAGCATTTTTAACTCTGATGTGACTGAACGTTCTGCGTTTCCTATCGGGATGCTTCCTATCATCAGCAGCTGAAGAAGACGCCGCAGGATGACTGCAGCCTGCGGTCCTTCCAGTTCAAATATCTCCACAGAAGAAAAACTCAGAGTGGAGGAAATGATTGAGATGCATGGAGACAGATTTCAAACATTCAAACTGCTGCTTTCTACGCCGCTGTGCTTTTGCTACAGACAGTGTTTCCATACACTGTAAACGGGATCTGTGTGCGATAAAAGAAAAAAAAAAAAAAGCACATGGTATGCATGGCAGGATTGGCTCTCCCTCCTGCAGCTCACAGGAACGGTTGCGTTTTCATCGTCTGTAGAAGTGGAGCAGAGCGTTGGTTAAACCGGTGCTAAGGCCTCTGACTGTGGACGGCGTGACGCTAAACAATAATTCCTTTAAAAAATGTCTGAAAGCAGAGAACGGAACCAATAAACCGATTTAAAACTGTCAAACTAAAAACTTCCTAAAAGGTGTAAACAATCCCCCGCTAACTGCACCCCTACTCCCCCGTTTCAGGGTGGGAGGGGTCCGGCTGTGATCTGGGCGTATGAAGGGGAGCAGTCACTGGTACTGGAGGTAGTTTTTCAGGGTCTGCGGCAGTGGAAGCGCCTCGATGTGATGGATGCGTTCCCGGCCCAGGGCGAGCCGAGCCACCCGTCTGCACAGATCCATGAGGGGGAGGGGCTCCGCTGTAAGAGGAGACAAACGGTTAGGATCCACACAACACTTCCCACACTTTAGCTGACCTGCCATTAGTTCCCATCGTTTGGACATTTACACAATGAGCCCTGGATTAGCCTGCTGAGCGAGCTGCACGGGTCAGAGCAGCGCCGCAGACGTTACGGCGTGTGAAGAAAACGCTCAGAGAGCGGCAGGAAACGCAGAAGCAGGAATACGCTTCATAACAGAACTAGAACCGCAATGATGGAGGTCAGGAGGAAAAAAACTAAAAGAGGGAGGATGAGAAGAAGAGCTGAGAACGTGCGGATTAGGGTGATTATTTTAAGCTCCACCAATCAGCAACCAGAGTCCACTTTGACATCCTGCCCAGTTTGATGCTGCTGCTAAAAGATTTCCTGATTTGTCAAACTGAAGCTAAAGTAGAACTTCACATGATGCTCCACATTCCTTATTTTAGGGAAGAAAGGGCTTCTTGGAAGAGTTGTCAAAAAATACGACTTTACCCTCACCTAGCGTGACGACTTTACCCTCACCTAGCGTGACAGCTTTGCCCACGACACATATACGACAGCACGTGACAGCCTTACCCGCGCCACGTATCAGTCTTGCCTGCGGCACGTGACAGCCGCGCCCGCGGCACACGACGGTCTCGTCCGTGGCAAGTGACGACATTGTGACACGTGCTAACATAACAAATATCACGTGACGGTCTTACTCGTGGCACGTGATTTCTTTGTTCGCGACACGTGACTACCTTGCCCGCGAAACGTGCCGCCCTTGCTCGCGACACGTGACGACTCAAACCGCGACACGTGACGACTCAAACCGCGACACGTGACGACTCAAACCGCGACACGTGACGACTCAAACCGCGACACGTGACGACTCAAACCGCGACACGTGACGACTCAAACCGCGACACGTGACGACTCAAACCGCGACACGTGACGACTCAAACCGCGACACGTGACGACTCAAACCGCAACACGTGACGACTCAAACCGCAACACGTGACGACTCTGCTCTGGAGAGATATTTGTGCCAAGAAAAATTTGGATACTTTTGGTTCAAGTATGGTTCAACAATATATAGATAAAAAATATTATGGATATGTTAAATTTTTTATGGATGCTTCAAAATATTCCAATATTAGGAATGGTGTTTTGTTTTAGTTCCAGAATTTATTTCTAAATCGGGTAAAAGAATCAGTGATGGAATTCAGCCTACAAAGGAGAAATGTTTTGGATCATATTGGCCTTACAATGGATGGAAGAAATCGTTCCATTAAGAAGTTTAGTTTGCTCTGATTCTAGATAAGCGTTCTATTAATTTAAACACAATTATTCAGACAGCAGACCTGATCTGAAATTTAACAATTATTATTTAGAAGACCTTTTACAGATGGACTCTAAATAAGAGGGTTATTCTTTATTATATATTAAAAAGAATAATTTGATAAACAGGATTTTTCAGTTGGTGGCGGTAATTGTTGTTTGCCAACCTCCATAAAACGCAACAAAAAGAAGAACCACTCGCCACAAAAGCTAAGAGTAAGGCCAATATGATCCAAAACATTATCTATATATTGTTGAACCATACTTGATCCTCAAATATCCTCCTTACTTTTCTTTTAAAACAGCAAATTTAAATCCATGTCAATAGCAGGTAAAAGAGATGGATGAGGCAATGATCTAATAACGGTTTTACTGAAGTTTATTTGAGATAATTCAAGATATTTTATAGTACTATCTTCTGTCCATCAAATGGTTAGGAGCGTTGACCAAATAACTGTAAGAGTTGTTTGATTTTCCTGATTTCGTTTTTACTTTTATTTTTTTTTTTTCATTTAACCGGATGTAGTATTTGGAATGAATGCTTATGTATTGATGAACTGTAAGACATATGAACCTGAAAGGGAGAAAATTAGAAGAGTAGTTGAAAGGATAGGCCAAGAATGGAGTCTTAGAGGATTATTGGGAAATAAAGGAAATATAAAGGATATTTATAGATTAAGGAAAGCATTATTTAGTTATCTTCAGAATACAAAATAAAAAAATAGAATTTAACAGATGTAAAACAATGTTGCTACACACTCATGAACAGTAGGTGGCGGTATGCACCTTAAAGTTGCTTGCAATCCGCCAAGAAGAAGAAGGAACGAATGCTTTCATTGGATGAAAAGAAGCTGAGCGTGATTGGCTGATGGTATGGTTCATTTACATACATTGCTAAAGTTGCGAGTGAAGAGAGTCGAGCGAGCGGAGAAACAGCCGAGCGCACAGCTGGTGTTGAGCGCGGAGACAGCAGGTCGAGCGCGAGCAGAGATGAAACTGAGCGCGAGAACAGTGTGTTTAGAGGGTTTTTCAAAGTTGGGCGGGCGCCAGACCGGTTTTGCGCGCGCCTTGTCACACTGCGCGCTCAAACCAATGGCACAAATATCTCTCCATACTGGTCACGTTACGACTTTATTTTCGAAATAGAAAAATCCCTAGCCTGGCCCGTATACTACGCCGTAAAAAACCCACTAGGAAGTCCATTGGCAATGCTAATGTCATTGGACAGGATGAATCTCAGTGGGAGGTTGTCCTCGTTTCGGCAGGACTTGTGCAAATCTTACATAACTTTGATCGCATATTCGCAGCAATGGTTACTCCGAGAGTCATCAGTTTTCCAGTGAGTTGTCGCACATTTGAGACCTTCTGGGTATTCATTCAGAAGTGCAGATATATCATCAAAATCTTCATCGTGGATCAACAGGCAATTTATAACAATTTTTTTTATACTTTTGTAAAATAAATAACTTTATTGTACACCATTCTACACAGTGCATTACCCACTGAAACTGCAATTATTCTACAAACCGACTCAGGACCAGACTATAAACTGGAATGGGTCAAAAGATTCCACTTCCTCTTCTGAACTATTTTATGTTGGTATAAGTCATAATATAAATTGATGCTGCTGAAGATTCTTAGTCATTCAGGTCATAGTCATTTCAAAAAAGTTTAACAATCCTCTGGACTTTGTTTCCAAGTCTGAACTCAACGCTATTTCTGACATTTGAACTGAAAAAGCTTCCTGGATAGGAAGGGAATCTTCTACAAACTTGGAAACAAAGTCCAGTGGTTTGTCGTTATTTATTTATTTTTTGGAATATACATCGTTTGAAACTTTGAGGTACAAAATTCAAAAACTACACCTACAAGGCTTTAATATAGTGAAACCAGCTCCTCTCATTAAAGTATAACGGCTGTTTAAACCTCATCTTCACCTTCCTCTCCAACCCGTTTCCTGCTGAGAATCTGCACCAAACGATCACATGAACGACTCCCTGCTCACATGTTTGCAGGGCTTGTCGACGCCCCTTTGATTGAAGGAAAGTCATGTCAGGATGTCAGACAGACTCTTAACTGCTGACTGTTTACCGAGGATGAGCTCAACCACCTGGATGGACCATCTGGCCGAGCAGAGCCCCCCTGCTGTAAAGCCAGGTTTTAACGCACTAACACATTTATACACACCTGAGCGACCGAATGCACACTGAGAAAAGTTTCTTTGGTTTCCATTAACCTTCCGGTACAACTGAACTCTAAGAAGCACTTTTGGAAGTAAATCCTGCTGCTTTCATTAAGCCTCCCAGTTACTCATTAAACCTCCACTATGAAGGATGCAGTAATTATTAATGAATCTGTGCTTCACTTGCTGCAACAAGTCAAAATGGGTTATATAAGAACGGCCCAGCTGTAAAATGTTTTACTGGAAGAAAATAAACACACTGGCCCCAACAAGCCTCCTCTGTGACAGGCTAACTGGATCGTCTCCACAGTCTATCAAGAGATGACCACAAACCGCAGTGTTAGGAACCAGGAAGAAGGAGGCCTGTTAGGAGGTACCAGATCTACTCCGGTCCTGCTTCATGCCAGTGATGTTACGCTACCCTATGCTCTGAACGTTGCCACATGACGTAAAACGTTGTGGTTGCTCAGACGATATTAAAAAGGCAGCATCCGTGTGCCGAGTTGGAAGAATCTGTAGCGTTAGGGCGTCTAATGACCGATGAAGTTTTACCTGATTGATAACAAAGCTGAGAAAAATACCTTGATATAAAAGGGGGAGAGCTGGGTAGCGCTGTGGCTAGCTGTGCTCAGTAGTAGTGTTGCACCGATACCAGTATCTGGCAGGGCCACGAACCAGCACTAAAATGGTGGTATTGGTATCAGCGAGTACCAACAAATACGGCACCGAACTATTGTCACTAGGGCTGCAACAACGAATCGATAAAAATCGACTTTTAAAAGCGTTAGCAACGAATTTCATCATCGATTAGTTGTGTGGCGCGATTAATGCTTCAGCCGCCGCCATCGTCGTCACTGCCACTTGACTGAAACGGGAAAAGAAAAAAAAATACGGCAGTGCGAGCCAGCGCCGCAGGTGCAGTGCTGCCAACTCAGCGACTTTGTCGCTATATTTAGCGATTTTTCAGACCCCTCCAGCGACTATTTTTTTAAAAAGCGACAAGCGACAAATCTGGCGACTTTTTACGGTGTCACTGGCGGCTTTTGGACACTCTTACGTGAAAGCATGCATCGTTCCTACTCTTGCTCTGTGGGGCGCCTCCGCCATCCCAACCCCGTTCTCCCGCTCCCGCAGGAGTCCCTCTCAGCGCTGCAGTCAGAGCCGCAGGATGTTTACCCTCAGCGTCCAGACTGCAAATGAAGCGCGCATGCGCCAGGATTGACGGCGCAAATTGATCACAATAATTAAAATAGCCTGCGCTTTGTAAAGTGAAAAAAGTCGTAACAGGCAACTTTTGTAAAAACAAATGAACATGGCACGGAAGCACCACTGTTATGACGCAGCACCTGAAAAGAAAACACGTTGGAGCCTTCAATGGCAGTGAAGAGAGCTGATCAGCAGGATGAGCGGCCATGTTTGTTTGGTTTTAAAGTGGGGAAACGTAACGTTAGTTTCTCAGGTAGCTCATCTGATGCTTTCCTTACCGTGTTAG